GGGGAACAAACCATTGTCTTTCATTTCCTCAAACAGCCTAATTGCTGACTCGTCACGGCCCAATTTCGCGAATGCTGATATGAGGGCACTGTAAGTTACGGTATCGGGAAAGCAGTTACCTTCACTACACATCTCGTTATACAGTTCGTGAACTTTCTCGTGATGGCCTTCTTGCATGAGCATCATGATTATGGAGTTGTACGTGCCAGCTGTTGGCATGCATTTTCGGTTTTTGACTTGGTAGAAAACCGAGAGGGCTTTGTTCACCATCTTGGCCCTGCCCAAGAGTTTTACGATCTCCGAGAGATGGGCCGGGTCAATTGCACATGGACCTCTGACCATTTCTTGGATGACCTTCCACATCCCGCCTGGAAGGCCCGATTGGTCGAGGCAGTGGATTAAGGCCATGTAGGTCGAGCAATCGTGCTCGAAGTTCCTTCTCTTGCCGGCCCACTTGAAGAACTGAAGCTTCACGTTGATTTCCACGTCAACCTGCAAGACCTCACGAACCAATCTGTGATCGACTTTTAGTTTCAACACGTCCAGGGCCTTCTCGGAATCTGGGCCCCACTTAAATATCTTCAAGATTCTTATGAACCGCTCGTCCAGCGTTCTCGAGGAAGCAGTTCTCCTTGTCGAAAGAGGGTTTCTGAAGTTGGGCTCGTCGTCTTTCGGAGCTCCCAAACGGAACATTTGGACTATTTCATTTTCTGCACAAATGAGAAGTAGTTGATTTTGTGCAATTCCAAGTCCTCATCTCATTACATAATTTACATTTGGTAAGAATATCTGAAATACTGAAATAGAATAGGCAAGACATGATCCACAAAACGCTGAAAAAAATGCAGATACACATCTCCAGATAAAATGGAATAAAATTGCAGCAAAATAGCAAATATCTGCAGTATACAAAATTGTCACCTGTCTGCTTGATTCTCACAAATAAACAAGAGCAAGTGGAAATTCCTCGCGCGGAGCCAACGGATGTGGCCGCCAACATCCCTCGAACCTTCATCGACTCAATCTTAAAATACCTGAATAAAATGTCCTGAAAAACCCCCAAAAGGCGCACACCAAGATATCAAAAGGGTTTCTCATACGAGTTTAAAATGCGAAAAACAACCTCAGATTATAGTTAATTTAAGCATCCGATAGCTGTTCTTACATCTCTATTTCTCGATAATAATCTTCACCCGATTTGCCTGTCTGTTAATTGGCAAAGATAAGGTTCTTCAGAATCGACTGTAGAAAAACAGGAAGCTAAACGAATCGAAAATATCACGAACACAATCGATGAAAAATGAAGCAAAATACCAAGAATTTTTCTGCGTTTGCTAATAGAAAAATTGCTAGCTATTACCCCCTCCAACTGACTTAATATGTCAATTAAAGCCTCTTCGCCTACAACGAAACTGAAACGGGTGGATCAAGTCCTGTTAAAGCGGGCCGATTAGGTGGGTGTTGTCTACCCCATTTAAGCTAAGCACCCGATGGCACCCGCTTTACCTACTATTGTTTTTTTTTTTTTTTTTTTTTTTTTTTTTCGAAACGATAGAGTGTATATTCTCCGCAACAAAATAATGTTTGTACAAATTGAAGACCAACTGGTCTTAATGAGCCTCCACAGGTGAGGAAAACTACAAGCAACAAACCCAAAAGAACGCTACTAAAGCCCAAAAAGAGTTTGTATATTAACTGTTGTCAATGTAGCTAAGATCAAACTCCAAACCAAAAAGGGTTCAACCACTGCACAAAAAGGCCTAGAAGAACCCCAATCAAAAGCACCAAACAAGAACCAAAACACTACAGAAAAAACAGCAGTCCTAGCAAAAGCCAAAACAACAAATCAAAACTAGAACAAGAGCTAAACAAGAAAAATCCTTTATACAGCAGCAAATTCCCTCCATTCTCTCCCTGCCAGATCAGCTACCACTATATCCTCCATCCAAGTCTCTTTAAACACCCAAAGATTTCTTGCTTTCCACAACCACCATAAGATGTATGTGGAAAGCTGAATTTGAGCGTCAGAAGTTGCTGTTTTGTTCATGCTGCAGACATTTGACCACCAAGCTTGGAAATTGTCTGTGTATTGCCATAGCCCATCCCGTGAAACTTGAGCCAACTTCCAAATTCTCCTTGCTCTGCTGCATTCGAAAAAAAGGTGCTCTACAGTCTCGGCCTTCTCTCCACACCCTTTGCACAAGTTATCTATAGCCATCCCTTTGCTGATCAGATTGCTGTTGACTGGCAGAGTATTTGTTAGGCATCTCCAAAGGAAATGCTTTAGCTTACCTTTCACTTTTAATCCCCAGCTTCTCTTCCTGGTTGCCATTTGTACTTTCTGGCCTCTGCTACTCTCAGCAAGATCCATTATTCTCCATTTTGGGCTACTAGCTTGGAGTAGATGGAGGAGACTGAGAAGGCTCCATTGGAGCCACTATCCCATACTAATCTATCTGATGCTGCTGGATCAAGTCCTTTGATGCTGAGGTTAGCTTTGGCTTCTGTGCTGTTGAAGGATTCTTGAATTAACTGAGAGTTCCATTGCCTGCCTGAGGGATCAATGAGGTCCTTCACCCAAGTGAGATGTGCATTTGTGTCATTCTGGGCTGATGAAAGTTTAAATCCAGGCAGAGTAGGTATCCGTGGGAATTCCCATATCTTTACTGGTTTTCCATCCTTCACCTTATATCTTGCTCCATCTCTCAGAGAGTCTCTGGCTTCCATCCAACTATTCCACATCCAAGAGCTATTTTTTTTTCTTGGCCACTGAAAATAAGCTTTCCTTTGCGAAGTATTTAGCTCTAAGAACTTTGCTAACCAACAGATTCGGTCTTGTTATGAGTCTCCATAGTTGCTTTGCTATAAGAGCTCTATTGAAAAGCTGAATATCTTTGAAACCTAGGCCACCTTTAATTTTAGGAAGTGTAATGTAGTTCCATGATTTTCAATGGATTCCTTTGCTCTGATCAGCCTCTTTCTTCCACCAAAATCTAGCAAATGTTTGGGAAATTTTGTGGCACAGAGCTTTGGGAAGTAAAAAACAAGACATTGCATATAGTGGTAGAGCTGAGAGGACTGATTTGAGCAATACCTCCTTTCCTGCAAAAGAAAGATACCTATTTTTCCATGAAGTAACCTTGCTTTCTACTCTATCAAGAATGAATTGAAAGGTTTGAATTTTAGAGTGCCCAATTCCCAAAGGTAGCCCAAGGTATCTCACTGAGTTATGGCAGGAAATGCCCATCAATAAGTCACAGATTTGAGTTTTGATGTGGGGAGGAGTATTTCTACTGAAAAAAATAGACGATTTCTGCAAGTTTATGAGCTGGCCAGAGCAGAGTCTATACTGATCAAGCATGTGTAGAATAAGATGTGCATGGCTAATGTCAGCATGGCAAAAAAGCAAAGTGTCATCCGCAAAAAATAAGTGGGTTAAAGAAGGCCCTTGTCTGCAGAGCTTAATCCCTCTATAATTACCCAAATGAACTTCAGAACTTATGAGGTGCGAAAGGATTTCTGAAATGAGAATGAAAATGTAAGGGGACAGTGGGTCCCCTTGTCTTATGCCTCTGGTGGATTTCACATAAACATGAAGAGAGCCATTGATATTGAAGGAAAATGTAGGGGAAGAAATGCATGCAATGATCCATTTAACAAAGGAAGCATGGAAACCCAATTTGATCATTGTATTGTGAACACAAGACCACTCCACCCTATCGAATGCTTTGCTCATATCCAGCTTGAGGGCCATATAGTAAGTGTTGCCCTGTCTGTGACTGTTCAAAAAATGCATAACTTCTTGCGCAACAATCACATTATCTAATATTTGCCTATCTCTAACAAAAGCTGCTTGATTCTCTGAAATACATATAGGCAGACAAGGTTGCAGTCTAGTGGTTAGGATTTTAGAGATGATTTTATATGTGGTGCCACAAAGACTGATAGGCCTAAATTGAGAAACTCTATCGGGATTGGGCATTTTAGGAATCAAAGTTATAAGGGTATGGTTAAGGCTTTTTAAAATTTGCCCAGATTCAAAAAAACTCAAAACAGCAGCATACAAATCATCTTGAACAATATCCCATAATTTTTGAAAGAATAAGGAAGTCATACCATCTATGCCAGGAGCTTTGCTTGGATTAATGGAGAAAAGAGCCTGCTTGACTTCTTCTCTACCTACTATTACTGTTAGTTCCTTGTTTTGATCTTTACTGATTTTAGCTGGCGTGCCTTGAATGATGTCTTCTCTTGTTTCAGTCAGCTCAGTGGTAAACAGCCTTTTGTAAAAATCCTCAATGCAATCTGCTATCTCTTTTGGGTGCACACACACAGTGTTTTCATTGTTAATGAGCCTATTGATGGCATTTCTTTTTCTCCTCTGAATGGTGCTGGCATGAAAAAACTGAGTGTCTTTGTCTCCGTCTTTCAACCAGGTAATTCTTGACTTCTGCTGTCAGTACCTCTCTTCTTCTTTATGGACTTCATCTAGCTGCTTTGTTAGAGAATCCCACAGCATCCAGTCTTTCAGGCTTCCCTTACTCCTCTGAATTTCAAGCTTATCATTTAAGAGCTTAATTTTCTTGGCATATTCTGCTCTGAATCCACTACTCCATTTAAGCAATGCTACTCTGGTCAGTTTGATTTTGGCTAAGAAGCTGAACATGGGAGTGCCAGATGTTTCTGATTGCCAAGCCTTCTCAATGACTTCATGCAAACCTTGCTTCCCTAGCCAATTCTTATTGAAACAGAATCTCTTGCTATGCTGAACCGAGAGAGGTTGCAGATTGAGAAGGAGAAGTCCATGGTCTGATGAACTCCTGAAGTTGTTTGTCACTAAGGCATTTGGATAAAGTGCAGAGCATGAGAGAGACCCAAAAATTCTGTCTAATCTTTCTTCCACAAAGCCTTCTCCCAGCCTGTTGTTTCCCCATGTGAAATAGTACCCCTGTGAGCCAAACTCATGCATCACCATGCTTCCCACAAAATCTCTAAAAGGCTGCAGAGAAGTGGCATTTCTGGTTAGCCCTCCTCTCTTGTCTTCAGGCTGCAGAATATCATTCCAATCACCCCCCAAGAACCAGTTCTGCCCCCATTTTGACTTTTCTCCTTCTAAAAAAGCCCATTGCAGCTTTCTATCTCTGGGATCAGTACTAAGATAGACAAAATTACCCCATACAAAGCAGTTTTTATCAGGGTCCCAGAATTCTACTAGAATACAAAAGCTAAATTTAATAATCTGCTTAATAACTACTGCATCATTCCAAAAGACAGCTAGCCCACCACTTCTACCCTGAGGTTCAACAATTCCCCTCAACACCAAGGGATCTACTAACAGTATTAACAAAATGCTGATTTTTCTTAGTTTCAGAAAGAAATACCAAAATTGGGTGGTGGAGCTTCCATATCTCCTTGAGTTGGGAAATTGTAGAGGGCCCACCCAGCCCTCTACAATTCCACATGATGATCTTCATTGATTCAGGTGGGGCCAATTGAGGTTGGCTTCCTCCACCTTCTGGAATTCTGATTTTATTTTTTTGGACTGATGGGACTCATCTTCTGTTGGGTCTGACTCTTGAATGGGCAGAGGCCTCTTCCCTGCTGCAGGCTTGGTGTTATTGTTGATGCTATTATCTGGGACTGATTGGCTGGGATTGCACTCTCTTCTTTTCCAGCCCTTTTTAGTAGGTGGTGTGGTTTGAGAGGTGGTGACGTCAGGAGGGCTAGAGGGGTTATTAACTGAATTGGTTTTTAAAGGGTTTTTGGATTGAGTTGCTTCTAGAATGGGTGGTTGGATAGGTGTTTCTTCGGTTTCCATATGGAAAGGGTTTATGTCCAAGGCTAATGGCAGGGAGTTTTTGGTGATGTGGGCTTCAGGGGTGATGATGTTGCTTAGTGATTGGCATTTTGGGGATGGTGTTTGATTTGGTGTCTGTTGGGTGTTGATTAGGAGTTCTTGTTTGGTCGGTGTAGTATGGTTGGGTGGTGAAAGAGGTTGGT